ATGCATCCATCCATCCACTCACTCTTCCATCCATCCACACATCATCCAACCACTCATCCGTCCATCCATTCATCCATCCATCCACTCATCCATCCACGTTTCATCTTTCTATCCATTCATCCACCCATCTACCCATCCACCCACCCATCTTCCACCCATCCATCCACCCACACATCATCCAACTATTCATCCATCCACCCATCCATCCACTTATCCATCCATGTATCATCCTATCCATTCATTCACTCATCCATCCATCCACTCATCCATCCATCCACCTACCAATCATTCATCCATCCATTCATCCCTCCCTCCCTTCAACCATCCACCCATCACACACCATCCATCCATCATCCATCAATCCATTATCCATCCATCCATCCATCCNTCAACCATCCACCCATCACACACCATCCATCCATCATCCATCAATCCATTATCCATCCATCCATCCATCCGTCCATCTACCCATCCACCCACCCACCCACCCATCATCCATCCATCCATCCATCCATCCATCCATCCACCCACCCATCCATCCATCCACACATCATCCAACCACTCATCCATCCATCCATCCATCCATCCATCTACACATCATCCATCTATCCACTCACCCACCCATTCATCCATCTATCCATCCATCCATCCATCCATCCATCTACGCACCCATCCATCCATCCACACATCATCCAACCACTCATCCATCCATCCATCCATCTACACATCCTCCATCTATCCACTCACCCACCCATTCATCCATCTATCCATCCATTCATCCACTCATCCATCCATCCATTATCCATCCATCCATCATCCATCCATCCATCCATTCATACACCCACCTACCCACTCATCCTTCCATATATCATCCTCCTTCCCGCCAATGTTCTTTATCCTAAGTGCTCTGACCAAAAAACCGAGGACCAAGAGGTTGAGTTCTGTGTAGAGCACATGGCAAATTAGAACCAGAACTGGGCCCTGCAGCTTCCAGGCTGTCGTGGCTGACTGTAGGCAAGCAGCTGATCTAAAAATGACAATAGCCTAGTGACCTGCTCCCTCCTGCCCATGTGAAAAAGCAGGATCTCCACCCAGAGGTGTCAAGATGCTACTCCCCTTGGCACATGGCATGAGTGAGGATGGGTGGGCTCGAAATCAAGCCCTGCCCCAGTCTAAAGGCAGGGCCTCTGCCTTCTTTTTACCTGATCCTAATCTCCAAAAATGTGGACAACGTCTTGTGTATGAACAAGAACATGGAGGGGATGTGAGGAGGGGAATAAGAACACAGAGAAAATTGACAAAAGTAGCTCGATTGTGTGTGAAGATCCTGTTCCTACTTCCCATGGGTCACTGCGCCCGTCCAGGTGTGGCCTGATCCTCCCTCTGAAAGCCTGCCCAGGCAGCCTTGCCATGTCTTCCCCTGGCCAGTTCTGAAGTGCAGTGGTCTCTCCCAAGCCTGGAAGCCCTGGGCTAGCTTCTGTTAATTTGCTGTCAGGCTGCCTAAGAAAACCAATTAAAAGTAATCATTAATTATAAAAAAGAGTGAGAAAAGTAGAAGAGAGAGGAGAAGGTGAAAGGCGGAGATGGGAAGAAGGAAGAGGGACGTGGGATAAAGAGGGAAGACCCAGGGGGCCTGCAGGGAGCTCTAAGTGGGGGTCATGGGCCTGGGAGCGACTACAGGCTTCACCTGCGCAAAAAGCGCTGGAGTGGACAGAGGGTAGCACAGCAAGTAAGGCAAAGATGGTGGAGAGGGGCCTGACTCAGGCCAGCGGGTGGAGGGAGGCCAGGAGAGGATGGAGGCGGGAGAGGGAAGGGTGGAAAAGCTGCCGGGACCAGCGTACCAGGACCTGAAGAGGCCTCATCCATCTGCGGTCCCCTCTGGCTGGAGCCACCAACTCTCCAGGACTTGGCTTTGGAGTGTCTCATCCCTGGCTCCCCGGCTCCATATTTATGAGGCTCAGCTGATTATGCAGCACCAGGCCAGGCTCCTTGTCCCTGCCACCCCTACCTGCTCCCAACCCTCTCAGGCCATGAAGGCTCCGGGCAGCTGTCGGCCGCCCATCTACCCCCCAACACTGTCTCCTGCCCCCTTCCCCCATCCTCACACACACTCTCTCCCTGGCCCGGCCCTTTCACAGGGACTGAGGCCATGTCAGCCGGCAGCTTGAGGAGGGGGGCAGCACAGACAACAAGGGGCAGTGTCATGGAAACGGGCACTTTCCCCGAGAAATATTCTGTTTGGCCTCCTTCCTGCATTGAGGAGCTGTCAGGAGCCTGAGTGAGAGCCACACCACCCCGGGACCAGGCGTGACAAAACCTATTTTCTGCCTCAAATTTGATTGATTAAAAAACTTTTTAGGAAAACCATGTTAAAAGAGTGAAAAAAGAGAGGGAGAGGGAGAGAGAGANGAGGGACAGAGAGGAGCCCCATTAGCTTTCCAAGGAAGGACACCCCACTGCATGCCCTCCATCCTACTGTGTGCCCAACAGCCCCCTGCCACCTCTGGGCTGATGCTTCAGGGCTGGCTACAGGAATAAAAAATTCAGACACACTGAGTGGGCACTGATTTGGGCCCATTTAAGTATATGCCAACCAAATTTGCAAAAATCCAGAAAGCGGTAGGGGGTGATCACAGTGGAAATATGGGCCTCAGTTCACCCCGAACCAAACAGAAGTCAGAGGCAGCGATGGGAATTTTGGGGCGGAGGTGCTCTCAGCGAGCTGCAGGCCGAGCATCAGAGGCTGGGGACCATGATGACAGAATTCAGCAGCACCCACTCCTTTACTCTCTCCCCCTGGCCCCTGGAAATAAAAATGACAGATGCCAAGCTCTTCCCTGTACCACATGGGTGACAGAGGGTTTGGGGTAGACAGGGGCCATGGTGCTGAGACGCCTCAAGTCCCAGGAGCAGGCTGCTGACAGTTCTCTTCCCCCCTGGAGTCCTACCCATGAGTCACAACCACCCATAATGGGGGACCACGTAAAGAGAGGGTAAAACGGTGCAACAGTGAAGGGCAGCTTTAGCCAACTCATTACTTGGCCCAGCTTGCCAGGCTCAAGCCCTCCTCCCCAGAGCAAGTTTGGGGAAGCCAGGTTCAAATGGGACAAGACTCCTTGAGTGGATGGAAAACCCAGGGAGCCCCCTGCCCGCTGACCTGGGCCCCCTGCCTTTGCTGAGGCAGGTGTGCTGCCCCCAGCCCCACCCTCGGCCTCAGAACTCGACCACACTCAGGAAGGATTTTCTGTTTATTACGTTTTTTTCCCCTCCCTACTCCCTCATTTGTGGCTTATCAATGATGCAAGAGGAGTAACACCAATTTCCTTAGGCTGTGTAATCCCCAAATCAGATTGGGGGATTGTGAGAGGTGAGGTGACCTTGCACAGGGCTCCGGGAATGCCACCCAATCCTGCCACCCGCCCGCCCTTCTCAGGACATATTTAGACAGATAATATTAATTGTACTTGACACGTCCTCCTAAGGAGGGCTGTGTCCTCTGCCAGCTTTGCTGGGCTCCCTGGGCAGAGGGGGCCCTCTGGGGCGGAACCCACCCTGCTGGACCCAGAGCTCTGGTGGGCATTGAGCAGCTGGGGAGGGTTGCCCCGTAGGCTTCTGACACATGCCCAGCTGACCCAGATGGTGAGGAGCTGGGGGGTCTGCGGAGAGCTGGACAGACTGAGATAGGGGGCAGCAAAGAGGAAGGGGAGCCATGCCAAGGCAGAAGTGGGGCAGAGGTCGTCAGAGTGGAAAAGGAAAGAAGTCAGAGAGGGGAGCTGGATGAAGTGCAGGCCAGGCAGGGCTGGGCCACAGGGCAAGGAACAGAGACCCCGGGGCTCTGCTGAGAGGCGCTGGGCAGGCTTGGCTGTCAGAGCTCACATGCCAGCCAGCCAGCCAGCCCAGGGAGCCTGCAGGGCGGCATCACTGTCCCGTCCGTCCATCTCACACTCGCCTGCTTGAGATCTCTCAAGGCACTCTGGCCAGCCTCCCTTGAACCCCCAAAGCCCCCCAACTCCACAACTCCAGTATCTCCCTTCCACCACCTTTTTCTCCCCTCCCATCCTCCCCGGCAACTGTGCATTTATTAATTCATGAGGCACTAATTAGTTCTTTGTTTAATTTTGTGTTAAACAGACTGACCGGAATGATAACGACTCGCAGCGCAGTGTCGCCGTCCCCAACCACCCCTGTTTTCTGACAACAAGGGAGCGCGGGAGACCGGAGCGCTGAACCCAAATCCCTCAGCAGTTGCACTTCATTAAGTCAAAATGTGACAAGAAGCTTAGAGAGCAACTTGCAGATCTGATCACACAGAACAATCGGGGAGGAAACTTTCCAGGAGTTGGTGGGGGAGGAGGAGGGGGAGGGAGGGGCGGAGCTGGCTACCACATGGGGACCAGGACCTGAACTGGGGTTCTGTCCCTCACCTGCAGGTGGCCTGGCTGATGGGAGCAGGGAGGCTGTCTCTGGGTGGGATCTGGGACACTGGTGGATCCTGGAACCTCAGTGGGGACCTGAGTAGTTCAACTTGACCTCTGTATTTTTGTCCAGGCACCTTTATCTGTCTCTCTCTGCCTTTCACTGTCCCTGATGTCTGGTTCTGGCCTGTATAAGTGAGTGACTGGGTATACCCAGGACCTGGCAAAGAAACAGAAAGCTGCTGCAGTTAAGGAGGGATTCTGAAAGGCCAGGGGAAAGGTGCAGAGAGGGAAAACAGAGGAGAGCAGGTTGAAGTTAAGCCACACCCTTCCTGACTAAGAAAGAAAGGTAACATGCTCAAGAATCATGGCCAATGTATCCATTCTCTGCCAGTTATCCACCCACCCATCCACCTATTCATCCAGCCATCCACATATCTATCTATCCATCTATCTAACCATCCACCCATTATCCATCCAACCACTTATCCAGCCAGCCAGCCATCCAGTCACCTACCCA